CCCCACCCCCAGAAGAACAGGTACAACCCCTCGACCAAACCCAAGACCACTATCACGACCACGACCAAGAAGGAGAAGACCCCCCGGCGGCCCCAGCAGACACCACCATCCTCATTGAGGATGTGAAAACCTACCTCTCCACCCTCTTCTTCCGCCAAACGCTCCGTCTGAACTCCGTCATCTCCACCGTCCTGGACTTCCTGCACGCGCATCCGGTTATCGCGACCTTGCTCCTGGCGCAGTTGGTCTGCTCGTGCGTGCCGATCGCGTTGTTCGTCGCTGGCGCTGTGATTGTCGCGTCGCTCGCTGTGGCGCTGTATTCCTGTGTGGCCGTTTTGGTGCTCGCGCCGGTGGTGATCGGGACGAGTGTTTTGGGGTTCTGTCTTTGGGGATGGGGGTGGGTTGTCTTTGTGGTTGGGAAGCGGGTCTTGGGCTGGGTTGTCGATGGGGAGAGGGAGGTGGCTTTGGATGGGGATCTGGAGGTGGAAGGGGATAGGGATTGAAGTGTTTTCTTCTCTTCTCTTCCTTTCTTTTCATTTCCTTTGCGTATTTATATTTTATCTATCTATTCTTGGCTCGGGTGGGGTTTGGGATTGTTTCAATGGATTAGGAATTGGGATCGGGATCGGGATTGGGATCGGGATTGGGATCGGGATTGGGATCGGGATTGGGATGGTGGTCAGTTACTACTATCTTCTATTTAATCCTAGTTATGGGTCTAATGATTAATTTTTATTGCTACGAAGTGGTTGCTTTCAGGAGATTTTCCCCCTCCCCCGCCCAGTATGTAAGTTGAAGCTGCATTGTATTATCTAAATTACTATCTATGGCTTGATTGAGAGTTTGTCCTGTTATTTATGTCACACATTCTATAGAATTCAATCCGGCGGTTACTGGCTTTCTGCCCATCTCACCCATCTGCGAATACATTCGTCCACTCCCCTGATGGCTTCTTTGTCGGCCTTGATTTCGAACCATTCCTGGTGTTCCCTGCCGCATTCCTCGCACTTGCCCATGTCGCGGACTTTATAGTCATCCAGCTCGAGGTGAACCAGTCGTTCCACGCGATGGACATACGGAACCTTCCTTCCCAGCTCGGGAGCAGGTCCGTTGCTTGGGCCGGGCGACGAAGGCGTGTAGGGGTAATATCGAATCAGGGTGATGTGGTGAGAGCACTGCCTGGTCCATTCGTTCATCCGACGCTGGACATTGTTCGCTCGGCCGATCTTGAGGCGAATTGTGCCGGGACTAAATTCAGTGGGCTTCGAAGCCAAGGCATTGAGATCTCTGGCCTTTTGGATGGCATTACTTCCGCGCTCATGCTTAGAGAATAAGGACGAGGCGACGTCTGTAGGCGGCGGCATCGACCTGGACGAGTCGGCCGGCGTGACCCAGAAGATATAAATATACCCCGGCTCATCTTTTTCCGACAGTGGTTTGGCAAGCTCTTCGGTGAGGGCGGAATTGGTTTCAGGTGAGACTGTTGGAGGGACCCACCCTCCTTTTTGCGGTCTTTGAGGAGCACTGGATGGCACTTGCTGCATCGATTGGGGTCTTCCAGATGGACGCACGGGCCGCGGAGGAAGCGGTTCATCCTCTTCGATAATTTCGAAGCAACAGCATAATGTTCGCTTGGTCTTCTTCTTCTTCTTCAACGGCCGGTACTTGTTGGTGTTGTCCTGTGGGTCATTGATATTGAGTCGCTCCATCAATGTATCAATACTTGATCTGGGGTTTATTTGAGAAATGTTCGGCTTGTTGCCTGTCCCGTTCGGTACTGGCACGTTTTGATCTTTGTGCTGCCAGCAGTACATCACATCCGTAGATGCCAATGCACGGCGGCATGGCCGGCCATTACCTGTAACACCTTTACATGTCGTGGCGGGATCAAGCGAATCCGTGCGGGTTACATTTGAAAGAGCCTCGGGGGAATTCGCGAAAACAGGCATGATGTCTGTTCCAAAACTGAGCCTCCTAGAAAGTAATTGAGACGAGGGAAGAGACCATGCGAAAAAGGAGAAAAGTAGTTAAAGAGTCAAAGACACAAAGAGTTTTTGCAGTGGAGAGAGTCTTCATTTTAGGGGGTTTCAAGATTGCGGGGGGCAACTAAACAGAACTATATAAAGGGCAGCGCATTCAGCTCAGCCATATGGTGGGCCTGATCAGAAGTCAAAGACCCATCTTTGGTGAAAGCGAGGCGAGCCGAACATCAGATTCGGAGCAAGGAGCTTCCAGATTGGTCAAAATTGATGTTGATCTGTACGTACACCGCCCCAGTGGCTGGAGATCGTACATGGTGACCCACTTTACCAAGGAGAACAAGTGGTTCTTTGTCTGGTGGTGTGTTATTGTTAGCGCTGGAACAATGCGTTGCCTGTCTTAATAGGCACCATTATGACAAGACAGGCACGAACATGATGAATTGTGCCTGAGCCACTGCCCTATGAGGCACTCACACATCTGTTGCTGACATCGCCCTGTTGTGCGTCTACATCAGTTTTTCGGGCCTCACTTTGGACTTGATAGTTATTTTTACTTGGACATATCCAAACCCAATTCTTCGTATTTGTTGCATTGTCCACGTTGCGACAACTGTAACCCCTGGTATCTACCCAATATAATCGAAACCAGATCCACGGCATTTCACCCAGAAGGAACGCGTCAGTTGGCTCGTCTGGGCTTTTGCGCCCCTGGCAACTAACAGCGACGCAAGAAAGCGCTGTCTCTCCTCGGGTGACACAGCAGGACTCTGGTTGTGATTTGTTTGATCATTACATACATCCGCTAGTGTGCTAGCGAGATGCGGGCGAGCTAGTCCTTGCTGTTTGAAGATGAGCCTTCTGAGCACCTCACAGAGATGTTCAAGGTCGGAGCGGGCACATCGCCCGGCGACCTGAGATGCCAGTATGCGGCACAGAGCTGGAATACTGTCTCTGAGCGCTCTTTGTACAGCTTCTTCCTCGTTAGGAAGATTCAGCACGCCTACCCAGAATTGGGAGGCAGAGCGAAGGGGGAGTGGCTCCGGGCCTTGCAAGGAAAGGAGTGTAAAGTTGAGAATCGCTTGGAGTACTGGTGGACGCTGAGGGGCGCCATCAACATGACCAGTTACTGGCTGGTTGGACTCCTGAGGTACAGCAGTAAGAGTGAAAAGAAAAGGGTAATACTTGGGGAGCAGGCGAGTGAGGAAGTCGATGCCGCTGTTTGCAACCTCGGGGTCGTAGAACTCTGGCTTCTCGTGCATCCAGCAAAATGTCTCATATACATGGACAATCAGGGCAACAGTCTCTTCACGGATACGTTGTGGATGTGCACTGTGAGAGGCCAAGAACGCTGAGGCCGTACCCATAACCATATCTGTGCCGGCACTCCCTAACGGTATACTTTTCACGAAATTGACTGTCACCGTTGGTGGAAAGACATAGGGGCCACTGTTCTCGGTAAAACCAGCCTTCAGTATGTCGCATGCTGCTTCGATGATGGTCACGTCTAAAGGAAAGTCGGTCATAAGAAGCTGCATGCACTGCATTATCAGGTTCTGCGATACAGCGCCATTACCCGTATTCCAGAAGGTCGGTGGATAAGTCCCCATTCCCGCCGTCAAGAGCGTCTAAAACGATTTCACCATCTGTTCTGAGCCCCTTTCCAATACTTGCAACGCAGCGGAGAACTAACTGGCCGCGACAGCGAGCAGGCTCCACTAACCCGCGAGAGGCTTCATCTCGTGCCAGCTCTGCCTGCTCCTGGAAGAATTTGAGTATTCGCTCTAGGAACTGAGCTTTCTCGTTATCAGTAGGTAAAGTTTGTATAATAGCAGCGATTCCCTCTAGAACTTTCTCCATGGTGGAAGCCGTGGCTGTAGGCTTGAAGCGAAAACGCTCAAACTGGTCCATGAACGCTGGAAGCTCGAATGTTAGAGCATTGCGACATGATTTGCAAAGATGCGATATAGATTTGGATGCTACAGAAGCACATGATGCAACGTCCAGTGAGGCGAAAAGGAACGTGAGTACGCGAGGAAGTAAGGCATGTGTGCGTTCAAAGTATGACTGATATTGTCCAAGCATGTCCACCAGTGTCTGCCGAGGTTTGTCTGGAATCGTTGCAATATCCCCTGTGCATAACCGAGCAAACTCATCGCAAAAGAATATTGCGTTTAAACATTCATCTGCATGCTGGTTTTCGTCAACAGCTTCCGAAAGTTGAGCCATGCAAAATATTGCGGCCTCGAATGTTCTCCAGTCTTGCTGCACTAAAGATGATTTTGCTCGTTCCTGGAACACTTGAACTAACTCAACTCCTAACATAGGATAGATTGCTAGGAGGAAATCGCAAACGTCGCGGCGAAAAGCGCCAAACTCACTGCGATCATCATCGCCCCATTCTTGTAGCTCCTCTGGACTCGGGTATTTGAGTTTCTCAAAGCAATCCATAGCTGCACGGGCAAGATTGTGTTTAGCGGGATCAAGCCCTTCTTTCTCTTCTCTATCCAAGTATATCTCTTGGAGATCATCTGCAACTTCAGTCCACCACTCAAGGACCAACGGCGATGCTGAATCGTCCACTGCTGCATATCCAGGGGCTTTGAAGAGTGTGTGGAGAAGGGCCAGAACTTTCTCATGATCAGGATTCAAGGGCTGAATCAGAAGCTCCCTTTGTTTGAGTGCTGCGTACGCTAATAGAAGTTCCAAGAATGTCATATTCTCATCTTCAAAATCGGCATCCATTATGGAAGCGATATGGGCCGTGCCAGGATCACTGATGATATATTCCAATATAGAGTAGACATGCTCCTGGCTAAATATACTGTCTCGCCAATCTATTAATTCAACCAGGACCTGCATTGCAGTCTTAGATAAGCTGGGAACTTTCAAACTTTGGATCACATAGTCGGTGGCAGGAGCAAGCTGAGTGGCGCGTATCGTGTCGCGGAGTTGGAGTGCATTACGGACCAAGGCCCACGACTGTAGCCCAGACGTTAGGCAAGTTTCGTTGGATAGGCGTGGGCATACTTACTTGGTAGGAGTTGATGGCCTCGACGCCTGGAGCGCCATCAGATATAGAGTGACCGGAAGATTCTTGCTGCAGCATATGACGGAGGACGAACTCAACTAGAAGAAAAGCATGCTTGATATTTTCAGATGCCCGGTTACTATCCCGATTTCGCCGTGACTCCGGACTCCATCTATTGATTTCCTCCGCCAGTATGTTAGAGAAGTATAATAAGCTGACCACCTGCCTTTCGGACATGGCAGGAAGAACAGCACCTTGCAGGTCAAAAGACTGACACTGCTCCTCAGAGAGATGCTTTCCATTTGCCAAAGAAGCCGCCAGGTTCCAAATAGCATGATTCCAGGGAGCATTCGGCTTTAGGAAGATGGTTGCTAGACTGGAAGCCAACTTGCGTACCACTAGAGGGCGCTCTCCCCCATTTACTAAGAGAACATAGTGGTCAATCAGTCGCCCAAGAAGCTCTCGAGCCTCATCTTCATTTAACTGTTGCCTGAAGCCGACACCGGTAAGTCAGGGTGTCCAATCGCGAAAAGGGTATACCAGTTCACGTACCAATCCTGGTTAATCTTGACTGTAAACGTTAGGGCTCCAAAGAACCTCAAGTCAGTACTCTCATCACTGAGGAGATTATTAGCAATGAGCCATGCCTGGGGGCCTTTCTGGAGAATCTGCAGATGCTCCTGGATAGCTTTGATCTTGGCGGGGTTGCCGGTATTTGCTGGATCATATAACTGAGACACCAGCTAGGCATTGTTAGAAGTTAAGCAGGAAGTGGGAATTATGGGCCGGGCATACTGTCCTCGCCTCATTAATGAGGACTTGTGCATCAGAGCTTTGGCCCGGGACGTCCACAGACATGGCCGAAGCACTTGAAGCCTTGCTGTAGTGGATAAGGAACGGGTATAGATTGGCTCAAACAGCTGTAAAGGGGCGTCACGTGCTGATAACACTACCGCGTAATTGTAAGGCGGTGAAGATGTGGGATGGAGGGGAAGTTAAAGGCAGTGTTTGACTAGAATATGAGAGGGGAAGAGGACATCTGAAAAGGAAGACATTAGTCCGTATGTTTGTACCATGTGACAAGAGTTATTGGAGGATCTATATGGTATTCTGTGCGCGTTGTCATGGAGCCTTGGGATAAACCTGTCATTTCCAGTCCATTCAACAACAGAAACTCCCTGCTTTCAGGAGGAATAACACCGACCAAAGAGGCGGCTGGAGAATTATTATCTTTTCAGCTGCAAGTGAGAAAAGTGGCGTCTGTATTCTGATGTTCATCCCGAAGATGACGAATTGTGGTCACGACTCTGTATTGTACAGTAATGGAGCCGTGGGGTGAAAAAATGACGAAAGGCGGTAAAAGACGGTAATTGCCGGGAATCTCTGCTGTAGGTAATGTAATGGTGGTCCGGTCCTACACCGGTGGTGGTACACTGCAGCTACAGCTCTTAAACCCAAGCTAATCATCTTGTTGGTCCTTCCATATCTCCACGGCTGCCACTCGAACATTGCACACACGACCTTCTCTTAACCACTACAATTATACCTAACCCTCCATTTCTTCAACCCCGCCTCGTCCTTTCACAACCCTCGCAGATTCGTGCAACATTCCGAGGGCTTGTACTTGTCATCTGTGATTTTGGGGCACCTTTGACTCGGGCACCTGCATCCTTTTCTTCAACCCTCGCTTGTCGATGCTTTTTTCTCGCCCTCCAATTCGCTCTCCGTGGATATCAACATTTCGATCGGTTCGCCAGTTACCCCTCTCTCGCCCAAGGTTCTTTTCTATCTCTGTACCGCGCTATTCAATCGATATGGAGACCGTGAACACCTCCGAACGTCTCGCGAGACTCAGAGAGTTGATGCAGGAGCACAAGGTCGATGTTTACAGTATGACATCATTTCACTGTGCTTAGTTGATGTACTTCAATACTCACTCTTCTCAAAGTTGTCCCATCCGAAGATAGTCATCAGTCAGAGTATATTGCTCCATGTGACGGCCGCCGAGGTTAGCCTTACGTCCTTAAACCCTACCTTTCATCTTTCGGCACAAACTCTCCACTCCACTACCATAGACCGCTGTATAGCTCACACTTGCCACAGAATTTATCTCTGGCTTCTCCGGGTCCGCTGGAACAGCCATTGTTTCCCTGAACAAGGCCGCTCTGTCCACTGATGGGCGATATTTCAACCAGGCTTCAAAACAGCTTGACAGCAATTGGCAGCTCTTGAAGCGTGGTGTCGAAGGCTTTCCGACTTGGCAGGAATGGTATGTTATATCGTGCATATATGACCTGTTCAGAATCGTTGGACTTAGTATGTGGTTAGGACTACCGAACAGGCCGAAGGCGGTAAGGTCGTTGGTGTTGACCCAGCTTTGATCACCGCGTGTGAGTGAATGACCTTGTTCTTGCTGAATCTCAATTCCTGAAACTAAGTTTCACAGCTGGCGCCCGTAGCCTCTCGGAAACTCTCAAGAAAAATGGCGCGACGCTGGTGGGTGTTCAGCAGAACTTGGTTGATCTGGTCTGGGGCAAGGACCGGCCTGCTCCCCCGAGGGAGAAGGTAAGAGTCCATCCGGAAAAATATGCTGGGAAGAGCTTCCAGGAAAAGATTGGCGAACTCCGCAAAGAGCTGGAGTCGAAAAAATCGGCAGGCTTCATCGTTTGTACTGCTACCTGCTTACTTTACATCGAAATCCTTGGTGGCTAACAAGTGATAACAGCAATGCTCGATGAAATTGCTTGGCTGTTTAACTTAAGAGGCAGCGAGTAAGTTTATGGATAAGTCCAATCTCCGGATACCAATATACTTACAAATATCAGCATTCCTTATAATCCGGTGTTCTTCTCTTTTGCCATCATCACACCTACAACTACAGAGCTTTATGTCGATGCTGACAAGCTGACGCCGGAGGTGACTGCTCATCTGGGCCAAGACGTTGTGATCAAGCCATATGATGCTATTTATGCCGACGCGAAGGCCCTCGGTGAGGCAAGAAAGCAAGAAGCGGGAGAAACGGCCTCTAAATTTCTGCTGTCCAATAAAGCTTCGTGGGCCCTTAGCCTTAGCCTTGGAGGCGAGGGACAGGTCGAAGAAGTCCGTAGCCCCATTGGCGATGCGAAAGCAGTGAAGAATGATGTGGAGCTCGCGGGCATGCGAGCATGCCACATCCGCGACGGTGCCGCATTGATAGAGTACTTCGCCTGGCTCGAGAACGAATTAGTCAACAAGAAATCGACTCTTGACGAGGTGGACGCCGCAGACAAACTAGAGCAGATCAGATCTAAACACGAACTCTTTGCTGGTCTTTCGTTTGACACCATCTCTTCTACAGGCCCTAACGGCGCAGTCATCCACTATAAACCCGAAAAGGGAAGTTGCTCTATCATCGATCCAAATGCCATTTACCTCTGCGATTCTGGTGCTCAATACCTGGATGGAACCACAGATGTTACCAGAACGTTCCATTTCGGACAACCCACCGAGCTCGAAAAGAAGGCCTTCACTCTGGTTCTCAAGGGCACGATTGGTCTGGATACTGCTGTATTCCCGAAGGGTACCAGTGGGTTTGCACTTGATGTGCTCGCCAGGCAGTACCTCTGGAAGGAGGGACTCGATTACTTGCATGGAACCGGACACGGAATTGGCTCCTACTTGGTAAGCAAGTCAGCTTTTGCGAGTTTTACATAATATACTTATCAAGCTGTAGAATGTACACGAGGGACCAATCGGTGTCGGCACCCGTGTCCAGTACACCGAGGTCCCTATAGCACCCGGGAACGTCATTTCTGATGGTATGCTACTTTAGCCCTATTCTATGAGAGCCTGTCTACTAACTACAGCAGAGCCTGGTTTCTACGAGGACGGCAAGTTTGGTATTCGGATAGAGAGTAAGCCTTCAAGTGATACAGATTTTGATCCAAAGCCGATACTAACCTGCCGTATCAGATGTTATTATGGCACGTGAGGTGCAAACCACGCACAAGTTTGGCGACAAACCGTGGCTGGGCTTCGAACATGTCACAATGGCCCCTATTGGTCGCAATCTGATTGAACCGTCTCTTCTCAGTGATGCTGAGCTCAAATGGGTGAACGACTATCATGCGGAGATCTGGGAGAAGACCCACCACTTCTTCGACAACGATGAACACACGCGCAGCTGGCTCCAGCGGGAAACACAACCCATTTCCAAATGAGCTAGCGAGCTGAAACACCAGCGGACAGTAAAACTATAATTGTTAATAGAACCCTTATAGTATAATAGAAATCGCATAGATGTGTTTCTATTCTAGCAATCCAATAAAACCATTGAGGTAGATTCATGTGTCTCGTTAGATTTGTACTATGTAGAATTCTCGGGGAAATACATTTCATAGCGGAATGTGGTTGACTGGACGGGATTTAATGCATTTTAATGTGGAGAACCCGTGAGCCCACGACACCTTAGGTATAGCTGTCCCCCATGCAACTTACTAGCCGCCTGTCGCGATCCCTTTGATCCCGAATATCTTGTTGGATTTACACCATAGTTATCCAGCACTTGCGCTGTGGCCTGCTTCGAATTTACCCAGATCTATGTGTCGAGGACGATCATGATTGTTTTCTCCTGCCTGATTTCTCAACGTCATCGCTAAGCCTGGTTGCCGACTCCACGAAGCCCAATTACCTTCCGTGCCCCATTACGAATCCTCTTAATTCTCCGCCCTGCATATCCAATACTCGTTAAATACAGACTTCTGGTATGAGTGGCCGAGGAGGTTACGCCAATGGATACGGGCACCCCGACGCCAGCCGATATGACCACACCGATGGAGGTTATGGCAACAGCAGCAATCTGGCTGTAAACGGCTACGGAGGAGGTGGACGAGAGCGTCGGCCGGGAGGCTATGGTGGATTTTATCCTGAGACTCCACAGCAACCTGGGTTGTCGCCATCCCAATCACCCGACCGACGCCGTGAAAGACGGGATTGGGATCGAGATCACGGATATTCATCATCACGCTCACGCACGCGAGAACGAGACGGGGACCCCGAGAGGAAGCTACAAAGTTCGTCGCGCGATGGCCGGCCTCAAGGGGACAATGGTCGGTTGCCAGATAGCAGCCGAGAGAAAGATCAAAATATCCCCAGTAATAACTCGGCTGGATCGCAGGCTGTTGAAGGTTTGTATATCGTATTGCCAGCCCACTTTTTCTTCATTTATTTCAGATATTTTTGTCCTTCTACTAACTCATACCCATGTTCATCACAGAAATTTTACAGTCCATCCAACAAGAATGGGATCTCGTAGCCTCGGACGAATGCGTCCCAGTTCAGGTAGCTTTACAATTAATGGACACAAGTACACTGGGGAAAGCCGATCGCGAGCCCGAATTTTTGGGTGTGCATAATCGAATTCAAAGGACTTTGAAATCTGTTGTCAACGGTAGGTCCTCACGAACTATTGTCTGGCATGGATCCGGGCTAAGAGAACTTTTACTAGAACACCACCAGGGCTTTAACAGCTCAATTGGTACTTACCACAAGATTCAGTCAAGTATTCAAAGCTCCCAAGGCCGAGTTCGTAACTTGAAACATGCTCTGGAACAGGCTAAGTCGGGGTTACTGTCAACTAAGCCCGAACTAAAAGACTTAGCGACCTCCTCTCAGAAGTACGACGATATTATCCAGTTGTTTAGTCAAATCCAAGAGATACAATCTCTTCCGGAGAAGCTGGAGTCGCGAATATCCGATAAGCGATTCCTCGCCGCCGTTGAGGTACTTCACGATGCTTTCCGTCTCTTACGACGCTCCGAGCTGGACAATATCGGCGCTCTCGCAGATATTCGCGCCTACTTCACTAACCAAGAAATATCACTTACAGATATATTGGTAGAAGAGTTGCACGATCATCTATATCTCAAATCTCCTTATTGCTCGAATCGATGGAAACCACCAACCCGGACGGGGAGAACAACAGCCCAAGTCAATCCGGATGGGCTGGCACATCTTGGGACAGACCGGTTTATACTTTCCTCGCGAAGCTGGACGCTTCGGCACCCATGGTGGAGGATGCTTCTCGTAACCCGGAAGCTGACACATTCTACTATATCCGACTCTTAATCGAAGCATTGAATAAAATGGGTCATTTGGATATCGCTGTCGACCGGATTGAACAGCGGCTTCCAGTTGAACTCTTTGCGGTGGTTGACAAAACAAACGCGGAAGTTGACGCACGCTTTCCAGATTTGACTCGTGGCTTTGCAGCGAAGGAGAGTAAGACAAACCTACCGACTGAAACAATCGAGAACCGTGGGCATGTCTTATCTGAGTTTTTGTGGACCTTGTATGCCAAATTCGAGTCTATTGCGGAAGGTCATCGCGTTGTCCATGATGTCATTGCAGCTATTGTTGAACGTGAAGGCATTCCTAAAAGCAGCTCTCTTGCAGGGGGTTTCAAGGAGCTGTGGAAACTCTACCAAAGTGAGGTCGGTAGTTGGACATGCCCTGCTTGCTTGGCAGTATCTTTGTTGTATTAACCTAACTTATGTGACAGATTCGATCACTCATGCATGATTATCTAGCGACTGATGGAGAGTCATCCCTCCGGCCAGGAGGTGAAGACGACTCCAAGCGCCATCTTTACTCAGGCTACAGAGACAAGAGCAAGGTGTGTAAAACGAACTATCATATAATTTACCGTGTACCATCGCTTACAGTATTAGAAAATGTTCAAACTGTCCGAGACGGATGGGACGACGGAAATGAAAGCCGAACAAAATGAATTAGATGAAATACTCCGCTCTTCTGTCCCAGGTCTGGTGTCGAAGACAAGACAGAAATCTACTCCGAATGGGACTTCGGATTCCAAGCAAGGAAATTCAGGAACTGGTCATAAGATTCTTATCGAACCAAGTGTATTCAACATGAGCATCCTTCTTCCACCTTCGCTCTCTTTCATTCAACGCCTAAAGGAAATTGTACCCGTGGATTCCGATATTGCTATGAGTACTTTGACTTCCTTCTTAGACGACTTTATGGTCAACGTGTTCCTCCCCCAGCTTGATGAGACGGTCACAGATCTCTGTATGTTGAGTTACATTACACCAGATGCATTTACAGAAGATCCCCAATGGCTGGCGGTGTCTCCGCGTCCAGTCTTCAAGGTAAGCTATTAACATCCCAACCCACTGAAGCTTTCTTGACATTGGGTGCATTAGGGTACGGTTAAATTCATGTCCATCATCCGCGAGTTCAGTAAAATGCTGTCTAGTATCCCCCATGACCAAGCATTCACACAACTACTGATCACACAAATCGTGAATTATTACGATAAATGCTGTGGGTGGTACAGAGGTAAGGACCGAAAAGTATATACTTCTTGACACTCTTATCTGATCTGATGTATAAGCCATCGTGACCAAAATCTCTCCTCGTGACAATGGTGAATTCCGACTCAAGGCCGCTGCACAATATGCCAGATCAGGTGACATCCACGATGTAGTCAGTGAGCTATGGAAAACAGAAGCAAGTAACAAGGAAGAGCTTGTAGATAAGGTGAATATGATTCTTAAGGAAGGATGCAATTGTCATTAACTACTTTTCAGGAAACTAACCTGCTCCTCGAACATACAAACGAAGTACCTTTGGAGCCGTACGATATCATCTCTGATCCTAAAACCGTCATGGCTCTCTCTCTTCTATATAACAGCACAGTGAGTCGACCGTTTGTATCTGTATCTCGATATTGTTACTGACACCGATCAAGCAATGGCTTGCAAGCCATTTATTGAAATTGCGCCAAGTTACGCAGCCATCATCTGAACCACGGCACCCACAAGAAAGCGGGCCACCAAACCGCAGATGGACCTTGATTGGTGCTATGGTGCCAAAGCATGAGGGATCAAACCAACCAGTGTACCTTCCCTTAAACCAAGAAACTGCGACTGCGTTCGATACTACTATCGAATCGCTGCGCGATCTTTCTTCAACCGCACTTTTCGCTTTACACATTGACATTCGGTGTGGCATTATTCATATGCTCACGAGGACCATGGCTGGCCCCAACCCCAGGAATAATCGCCATTCCGAACCTACAACTCCCTCCCCCAACTCGAACATTACTTGGTGGCATATAGTCCTGAACCAGCCAACTTCCGCTTCACCAACTGTACTTGAACTAAACAATGATCTAATCTCTTTCGATACAAACATCTCTTCGTATCTGGGATCAGCCGAGCGCTGGTATATCACATCAGGACTGGCCAGATTTATCGATCAGGTGTTTATTGCGCGTGCCCATCTTATCGGCGCGATGAATGAGAATGGGGCGCTGCGGCTTCAGTTGGACGTCCTCGTCCTCCAGCAAAACCTGAAGAATATCATCATTGACCCGGGTATGGATACAGATGAGGAAGAAAATGCTCAGCGGGCATCTGAGCAGCACCGTGAGGTTGTCGCTCTTCCGCGTAGTGCTAAGTTCCTGGACTGGTTCCTGGAAGGCGCCGAGAAGGCTCTCGACTACGCAAAAGATGAGAAAGAATCATTCGCAACACACCCTGAGAAAGCTTTGGCTGCTGGCAATGGCGAGCCATTTACCTACGATGAACTCAGGATCCTTGTCGATCTATGCTTCTCAGATATTCTCAAAGGACCTAGAGGTGCAGAGAACCGGGAAGAGTTCATGGCTGCAAAGAAAGCGAGCGCAGACGCACTCCTAAGGTTGAATGAGATAATGTGGGATTCTAGGTAGTAGGGCCTCTATTCCTTCAAGGACTTGTGCATTCAAAGGAGGAGAGCTGTCTGACAGCTACTGCATGCCAATCTTACGACGATTATATTAGCCCTCTGTGAATTTCTGGCGCTCTCGGTGGTTTAACCGTCGTGCTAGGGCCGCGAAACAGCCAAATCCCAGATTTTCAAATGCAGTGCATTTCCTAACATTGGTATATCACATATGTTTGGGTAGCAATCCGACATCGCATCGTTTATCCGTTTAGCACTGTTTTGTCAAGGCGGAGAAGGTATACATCAGTAGTCCTGGATGGCATTTACAAGTGTCTGAACTCCTAGAGTGGAGAAATATTGGAACTTATTACCGAGTGAAGGAGAACTGCTTTGTTTTATATATATGACACCAGCTCTCGGTACGGAATATTTGTTAAGCCATAATTTTCCTGCAATTTTAATGAATAGTACTCCAAATAGGGGTCTAGAATCCTGTCTTAGGCAATATCAACTAATTATAAAGCTGTTAATTAGACCAAAGACCTATAGTGAGCTAAAGTATTATCTGCATATCCGATATACAGATCGGGCCCCGACTCCCCGGGATAGTCAAGACACAGCCACACAGTCAACTAGGTAAGGGTACTTCGACAAGAAGCCGGTAAGGAGAAGAGGGCCATCTATACGTTATTGTAAAGCCAGCGAACGGATCTAGACTCCGACGTCGCCGTTCGGCAGCGGAGTCGTCCACAGACATTCGGTTGGAATCCAATATAGCGAGATCACTAAACCAAATACTGTACGTTGTCCTTCTCTGGGGTTCATTATTGTCCCTCTTATTCCTTCCCTAATAATTCCAGGAAACTGGGAAAACAATAAAATATGACCATATTCATTGTAGATGCTATAGCTCATTTTCAGTTGTATACACAGTATCTCTTTTCGACGTCCCATATTGTCTCGTCACGTACCATCTCCTAGGCATTTCTTTGGTTTCACTATGAGGTACACCCTCTAAAGCATCGACTAAGCTGTTCATCATCATCATGGCTTTCCCGCCGGGATTCCTGAGCCAGATAAAGTAGTCACCATTGGCTCCTCGGCCTTCAATTGATACAGCCAATCGACTAGCTGGGTCATCAATCAATGATTTGGTTACATACCTCTCAGGATTCGGAGGTTTCGAAGATTATGAAAGGCTTGTCGAAGATCCCATGCCCAGGCTCCTGTCGTTGGATCTGGCGAGTAAATAAATGTTTCAAAAGCATCTGTTCCTCCGATAGCTTCATCCAAAGCAGATATGTCGTCTGTGAAACCCTGCCTATCGGGGGCACAACATTCAGATGTTGACCGGCCCATGCTTTGTTTACACCATCAGGAAGATACTGTGCTTTGATGTAACTGTTTGAAAGACGCAAGCCATCCACATTTCTTGGAAGTTGAGGATAAGCCGATCCTCAGAGGAAAGATTCCGTGCGACACGGTGTGTTGCAAGCATAACAAATACCGATTCCATATCGTCAGCCGAATCCCAGACATGAATCATGATAGTGCAAACTAGGATTTGCTCGTATATACCGTTCATCGTTGCGAATTGATATTCTCATACTTAGTACCAATGCTTGTCCCCACATATAGCCAGAAGCGGTCCGGATTGCTCCTTCTCTATAGGATGTGCATGTATACACCTGCATCACCTGGAGTATCTTCCATACTACCAATTTGGAGTAAACTGCAGATAATTCCTTCAGCATATGTACATCTCAACAAAGAGGTTATAGAGCAACTCACCTTCTTAAGTCAAATGCTCCAGCCTCGCAGATTGCCCTAGCTTGGGGGTTGAGATTATCCCCGAGGAGGGCCTTTAGGTTATATCCCGTATTAAATCTCAAGAAGCTGCCATAGCGGAATTCATATTCATCCAAAACCTTGTCTATCATAGTATCTAGTATCCTCGCGGTCAACATGGCCAAGGCTGTCAAGAACAATCGGGGTCCCTACTTGTTCCACAGGAATCAGCCCTGACTCATTGATGGCGCTTTCGAACCCTTTGTTCAAGTGTTTCGACCTCGTCTGCCCTTCTTAAATTTGGTGGCTCTCTTGGTTGCCTATTCAAGTACCAGTGGAAGGCTTTCACCGGGGTGCTATAATCCACACCAGTGCATGTCCCAAAAGTCATCTAGCAGCCTGCGCATTATTGAGTGCCGAAGGCGCTCTTCGTCAAGGGTTTCGTTCTGTTCGTCGTCAGGTAGGAAGACTAAATCTATACCTATATCAACATCTTCTATGAGAAAGGTATGAGTCGGCGTAAAATAGAAAGATAAGTGCGAAACTCTTCAGGAAACTCGTCCTGGAATTCCCTCAGAACAGTTCTGCTCTCAATCTGCATGCTTTGTGACATTCTGCAGGCTTATATCAAGAGCTAGCAGGCGTGGCAGTTGCATAATCGCTTCTTGGGTCCTGATGGGTAGGTTCAATATCTTGATGGGATTGCCTGCGCAGGCAGAATATATAAGCAGAGTGCTAGGGGTATCCAAGTGCCCAACTTGGGGTGGCTGGCCTTTCATTCACTTAGACTATTCATTACAAGATTGAATGATTGATTATTGAATTATACCCGAATGTAGCGTCCCTTAAGGCACTGCCACCTTCTTAGAAAAACGTTTCCTTTGAGAGTAGAAGTGGGACCTGCCACTTCCAACCCCTCGCGTGAATAGCCTTGCAGGGATGACTCAAGTGCAGCAAAATTCTTACTGAGATTCTCCTGGTAGCATTTTTTTTTTTAATTCTGCTTCCTGGGTCGCCGACAGCTGATTGGCCATAGCCACAAATTCTATATACAAAATATGCCGCTCAACCTAACATAGAAACAAAATAGTCTTTGAAGTTGTTAATTGTACTATATTTCTTTCTACTCTATTGATTCTTTAGCCACCATTCCGGCTTACTTCTATCTGTGTGTCCTGCTACCTTTGTTCAAGTGGAACTAACTATATCAATCGGAATGGAACGCGCAGATCTTTGTTCTGCTTGTCAGGCTGCTCTTTATCTGGATGGTGACCATCGTTTTCCACTTTAAAGACATGTTTGCTAATAAATGCATAGTTGAAGAGACGAATGTATCTAAGCCTGTTGGTCTAGTTGGATATGACACTCGGCTGTGATGGAAGCTTCTTGTAACCGAGGACACCGGCGGGGGAACGGGGTACCTTTTCCCCCTTGACATCAGGGATGTCAGATATTTGGCCTGTATCTGTAGAGGATTATCTGAGTCGCCTCTTTTCTTCTATGTTGGGAAGGTACGTGGTGCTTTGTACACGATTGTCATGCATGACTCGCGGCGGCTTATATGCCCAACGTTATGCGCGGTTTGAATGAAGGCTCTACTATATAGGATAGTTGACCTGTGAACTAGAAAGCAACGCCACAACATGAGAAAGCAGAAGGTGTCTGGTCCGCTACTATCTCCTTTGAAGAACGTGATTGACTCGAGATAAATCAATAGGTTTGGAATCACACAGCGGCATGTCGCGTCATCACATAAGCTGGCCTGCGCCACACAAAGAGGTCTCCAAATCAGTCGAGTAGTGCCTATCCAGATGCTTCCTAGCCCCTGGTCCGTCATCAATGTTCTGCTATTCCATCATTGAGCCTTTCTTTTCATTTTCCCCTTATTTCTTCTACTTGTAACCTTTGCAATACGCATTTGCTTCGTAGTCTTCTGAGTACTGTTTGCGCATTTGGACTTCTGTGCATTTAAGTACGCATCCACAGCTCGTCCAAGAAGTGCAGCATACAAGCTATATTAGTCTCCTAAGCGAGCCTAGTCTGGATCATGAAGGACCTAACTGCAACTGCGAATGGAGTATATATTCTGTAAACAGTACACGGCCCTACATTAATACTGTTCAAAGGATCCACTAGACCCAATAAGGCGAGCGGGTTGGACCTAGTCCTTATTTGGAAGCGGTTACACAGAAAGCGGCAGAACAAGGTTTACTAGCGCCAATCTTTAGATTATCATCTCGGTCCGTCTTCCTATTCGGGTCCGGTGGCATGCCCTAACCCTATTCAGTCTAGTACGTTCGGGGGTCTTCGAGCACAACTCATTTTATATTGTACATCTCCGTAGCAGAATTGGAGAAAATACAAAACGACAGGGATCAGCATAGTGTTATTAGATTTCACTTCTACAGACAAGTACAGCCGACTGCCTTCGAGTATGACCTTTATTTATATAGCATAATCTGAACAATCCGGCATCGCTAAAACCCCCGATGGTCTAGTTGGATATGGCGTCCGGCTGTAATAGCAATTATTATGGAATGATATCCTGTCACCGGAAGGTCGCCGGCTCGATTCCGGCTCGGGGGAAGCGATAACTTTTTGGTAATCCTGCAATCTGGTTGATTCTCCGAATCGGCGTTGCCATTTGAAAATTGCTCCTCTCCTGGACGGATAGCCCAATCGCATAGCATATATATTTGAAGAGAGAAGCAAGCACATGCTGCGCTCACTGGCACACGGGTATCGCAGTATTTATTTTACTGCCAGTCCCCTGCATGTCGTTTCTTATACATGACTCCAATGTGATGATAATGTCCCTAGGGCGTTATGAGTGTGAGTACACTGAACGATGCCATCCGCAATGGCCACATACTGCTAAATGTTGGTATGGAGGTACAAGACACTTTGAATTCCACTTTGGATTCTACATAGAAGAGGTCGTTTTAAGATAGGTAGGTAAGAAGACAACGTGCTGAAGGAGTGTAATGTGTCATGCGGCAGGAAACGACACTAAACTCTATGCTTGACCCACCTCACCTACTGAGGTGAAAAGCAAAAAGTTATCTCGTCCCCCGAGCCGGAATCGAGCCGGCGACCTTCCGGTGACAGGATATCATTCCATAATAATTGCTATTACAGCCGGACGCCATATCCAACTAGACCATCGGGGGTTTAGAGATGCGTTGCTTGAAAAGACTAGGTTACATAAAGAGGCACCGACTAGGGCTATCCCGACCGGCAAGTTTAGGGCTGTGACACTTACAATCTGATTGAGCTACAGATGACTCGCCGTGTGTACATATGTGGATGGTGATTCATGCCGGGAAGGAGCGAGGGCGGGGGTTGATGGATTCATCCGCTTGCCAGTCCTCGTCAATTCTTTGATCTGTTATCGGGTGGCGAGAATCTATAATACAAATTCCTATTGTTTCTATCCAGTACTCTGGCTTGGTGGCTGAACACCTGCAATCTAACGAAATGACCTCTCCACAATTGTAATATTTTAGCGTCGTATCTTTAATCAATCGATCGTAAGACTCTGTGCACACAATGTGAAGGTGGCAGCAACTAACTTGGGATCATTTGCCCACTACCGAAATGAGCCTTTTATATGAAACACCGAACGCGGATCGGGGTGATGGATCCAAGCGATCCGGACCACAGCCGGATAGGCATCACTCCATCTGAGCCATGGCTATAGGCTAAATCCGGTCTTGACTATAGGCGTTGGGAAATTAAACTACGAAGTACGGATCCACTGCGAGGATTGCACGAACCATAACCGTATTCTGGCCTTCGGACTCTGTCTCACCGTCATGCCCGGAATCCCGCTGTTATATCCCCTTTCTTCTTCCTCCCATTTTCCTTCTCTCAGTCATTCCTTTTCTGTTTGAAACAGCAGGTCTACTGGCTCTGGAATCCGAGATCCAGAAGCCGTTCATTCCTTCAAACCAAGTCTGTGCCGATTGCACGTCCGGTCATTACTTCACATTCAATACATTCCTTTGCTGGCGGAGATATAGGCATTATTACTCTTTTCCCTCATCACTTACCTCGATATTGAGACATACATCAGGCCTACGATATTTCATCTACAAAGGTTCACTATGAAGTATCAACGCCTTGCCTCCCTGGGCCTTGCTGCCCTGAGTGTTTCGGGATCCGTCTCTGCAAGCCCTCTCATTCGACATGAGGGCCAGTCGGTGTGTCCTTCAGGATACACACAGAGTGTATACTATGTGACTGTTACTGCTAGTTCCACTCCGGCGTCGACTGTATCCGTTGAGCCAACTACAACCCTGGAGTCCTCGTCAACCGTCACGGAGACCACAGTCATCACCCCGGAGATTCCAGTCCAATCTCCTACATCCACCCCGGTTGAGACTCCTGCTCCGGTGGAACCCAGCGCTCCTATCGAGCCTACCACTTCATCATCCACCACCGAGACACCCGTGGTGGCCCCAACCATTGCTACACCCTCCACCACCATTGAAGCCCAGCCTACAGAAGTAGTTGCCGAGCCTTCTACTTCATCCTCTTCCACCGAAGAGCCCGCAGCAGCCCCAACCGTTGCTACAACATCCTCCACCACGGCTGATGCCCAGCCCACCGAAGTAGTCGCCGAGCCTTCTACTTCATCCTCCCCCGCTGCTGATATCCAACCCACAACCGCCGTCGCTGCCCCTACAACCAAGCAGCAGAAGCAATCAACCACCAGCACGGCCGCCCCAGCCGCCTCCACCTCTTCATCCACCGGCTCCTCAGCCAGTAGCAGCAGCAGCAGCAGCAGCAGCGCATCCAACTCCGGCGAAGCCACCTTCTACGGCGGCAACATCTCCGGCGGCGCATGCTCGTTCACGGGCTACACACTGCCATCCAACCTCTTCGGCACCGCACTCGGCTCCCCACGCTGGGACAACGCGGCCGAATGTGGCGCCTGCGTTGCCGTAACAGGCCCTAATGGAAACACCATCAAGGCCATGGTAAGCGCTCCTCCCCACTTCCCAGCCTGTCAGAAAAAAAATAAAATAAAATAAAACCAAACTAACCAAAAAAAGATCGTCGACAAATGCCCCGAATGCGACTCCAACCACCTCGACCTGTTCCAGTCCGCCTTCGCCGAGCTAGCCGACATCTCCAAGGGCGTCATCGACATCAACTGGTCGTACGTCTCCTGCGACATCGACTCGCCCCTGAAACTCAAGAACAAGGAGGGTACCTCCGCGTACTGGTTCTCGATGCAGGTCGTCAATGCCAATGAGGCTGTTACCTCGCTGGAGGTTAGTACGGACGGTGGAAGCACCTGGCAGAGCACGACCCGCTCGGACTATAACTACTTCGAGAATAGTTCGGGATTCGGGACGGAGACGGTTGATGTGAGGGTTACGGGGAAGAGTGGCAAGGTTGTCACGGTTAAGAATGTGGGTGTTTCTTCGGGCACGGAGGTTACTGCGTCTGGAAATGTTTAGGGGATGGTGTTGTTCTGTTGGAAGTAGTGTATAGTGCGCTGCTTTGGTCTGCGTGGTTGAGTCGTTGCTTGGCTGTTGTTGTTGGTGGTGGTGGTGGTGGTTTGGTTGGTGAAGTTCGTTGCTGTTCTCTTCTCTACGATGCATTGGTTATTCTTTGATGGGACGGCATTGGGGTGGTCAGTTCGTAACCCTAGTGCTTGTTCCTGTATGTCAACATTCTATTCTCTGTACATATTGACTTGAACATTACCAAGTTCGATTTTGAGGTACCACTACGGCGTGATACAAACCTACGCCGTTCAAAGCATGTAAACAACCACAAGGATGTTCTCATCTACAGGACGAGATTGAAAGTGAAGAATTGCATTCCGATATCGCGGGATTCAGCATCCGTATTAATCACACTCCCAGCCGTAGTTTCGCCGACCCATCCTTAAAAAGATAGCGTACACGAAGAATAAAAGAATAAAGAAAAAAAATTCCACAAGGGTAACGCAAATAGAGAAGAGAACATAGCAGAAAACCGAACCCAGGCTTAAACAATTAGCGTGGAAAGACTAGTCACGTACTCACTCCCGTGGAAGATAAACTCAGACTGTACCTGCAAATTCAATAAAAACACGATGTCGTTGCTAGATGACATCATAGCAAATCTGGAAAAGTTTATTCAAGGGAGGGAGGACAATCGAAATGTGAAGAGGAAAGGAGATGTCGAGAGAGGGTGGTTATGTCAGGGTTCCCAGCCTTCAAAAAGAGAAGTAAATAAGTCATGGCACGTTTAGAACGGAACGAAGATCATCGCAGAAAGGAGTCTCGCGACTAATGTGTACGTAACAAAGAGAAGTGAACCGGATGTCAAACCTGGCCCTGATCAACCTCCAGAGGTTCCAGCTCCTTGGCCTCCTCATAATCGTCGAATTCGAGGCCCGCATCGCGACAGCGTTGCAACCACTTGAGCGCAATGTCTCCGCGGCGATTGACCTCGACTTTTAATTTGGAGTTTTGTGCGCTGATCTCGTTGATGGCATGACTCGTAGTCATGTTGTTCTGCTCCCATCGCTCGCTCATTGCCTTCTTTTCGTCATGAAGCTGACAGATGTACTCGATCGCGCGTTGCAGAATAGCACCCTTGTTCTTGTCGCAGTTTGGAACAAGACGAGCAATCTGATTGATACCTTCATTAATCGCCTCACGGCGTCGGCGTTCCACTTGGGAACCAGTCAGTAACAGAATCGAAAGAAAGCAGGGAAAGCGACCGACCTTCTTTGTGATTGTTCTTGCGGATTTGATGCCATTCCGGCGACCCAACGGAGGGCTTTTGGTTCATGCTTTGTGCTTCACGCGCAGCATAAACAGCAGCAGCAGTAGAATTGTGACCATGAGCGCCACCTATCGCTTGGCCCATTTCATCTCCGAACGTCAGGCCATGTGGAAGGCTACTGTCGAATGTCGCGTCTGGGGGAGGTGGGTATTTGTTCTGCGGTTGGTGCGCGGCTAAAGCAGCTTTAGCTGTCAGAGCATTCTCATCAGAGATACCGTTCTGCGGACCGACATGTTGGAGAATTTGCTGGTCAATATTAAGCTCGGATGCTGCACCAGGGAGGCCATGGGTATCGTAAGACCCGAGAGAAGCATGGCCGAAAGTAGGTTGGGTGTCTGGGGCTGGGATACTGCCGTTACTTCCGTTGGAGGAGCGGTTCAATCGCTGAGCATCAGGCCCGGTGCTGTCAGTGCTTTCGCGCTTTCGCTTATTGTTCAAGCCATCAGTGGCACCCAATGAGGGATCGGACATGACGCCGAGTATTACAAGTGAACTACCCTACAAACAAGTGAGTCAGCAGACCAGTGAAAAGGAGCGTCGGTGGGCCCTGCTTACCTGCTAGATAAGGTAGAACTGAGATAAGATTGGGGAACCACGCTCCTGCACAGCTACTGACACCAATCTATTGTTGAGTGAGTGATCTATGAACATGTGTTCTTGTCAGTGATCGCAGCTCAATGGTCAGTAGTGCAGATGCAATTCTCATAGAAAGCAGAATGAGCTGTGTTAAAATATGATGGGAAATGTCAATTTAGATAGAAAATCATTCAATCAATAGAAAAGCGTGAATATTGCTGATCAGTATTGATGTTGAGGTAGAGAGTGGGAGACGCGTTCGGGGGGTTGACGCGCGCATCTCCGCATCCGCATCAATAACATCTGGTCAGTGAGATTATGCCAGCGGCAAAGCACAACTCTTCACATATACCACTAAGTATATGGATCGCGGGTGCATACATAAAAGCATAGGGTAGAGATACATCAGGCAGTATCGATCAGCAAGGAACTACAGTCCAAACGCGCCCTGGCAGTTTTGCGACCGACGAAACCGCGCGACATCATAGGCAACGGTCTCCTCGCGACCGGTTCATGGCGGAGAGCATGAACACCAGGGCGATGGACGGGACAAGAGCAGGAGCACCGTGCCGCAGCAACCGAGGGTTGTTGCGGTTGACAGAACGGAGAACAAGGAGGTAAATGAGAAGAAAGGGAGCAGCAGTACCTTGGGATGGGCTATCTATCACCTGACAGCAAGTCACCTGCCACGGGCAACAACAAGATAGGATGATCGCGATTCGATCGTGAGAGCAAGAAAACGAAATTTGTACCGGGAAGAAATGGTCGAGGCAGAAACGTCCGGCGTCAACACAGTGGACAAGTCGGATTTGAAAACGAACAAAAAGAAGTGGCGGCTTTTACAATGGAAAGTAGGGATACATGGAGGTGTAGAGAGAGAGTCGAGTAGAGAGGGATTGCTCACGTGGCGAGGGCGAAAGACGAGGTCAAGCCTTTGGCCAAAAAGAGGAGGAATGCGGTGACCGGTTGTGACCTGGTGTGCACTCGAGTCACGGGATAACGGAGCCTCTCTCTTTATCTCTTTCCTTTATCGATCCACCGATCATTCCATCGCAGGAACAACTTGGGGAAGTTCTTTGCACCGAGCCAGCCCGCTCATTATCAACCAATCTCTGTCCCTCCCAAGTTAATCCAACCGGTTTTCTTCCTTCCCTCCTTCTTCCTCATTCAGATGTCATGTGCTGTAATCCCGTGCCCCCTCCTCACCCAAGGCCCCCGTTGGCATCGTTGATTGGCTGCGTGTTTTCGCCTTGGCCGGTTGCCGGAGGAGGGGTTCACCCGGAAATCACGTGGGCCCTTGCAGCCCTCCTGAACGGGGAGCGGACGAAGATCATGGACTCTTAGTAACTCTGCAATGTTTCCCCAGGTCTGCAGTGTTCCTCGAATAATGGCCACTGCCCTCTCATGCAGGATGGTGTCATTGGAGGACGAAATCCCCTCTATTTGGGAGCGCCTGCTCATCCCGACCGGCCCGTCCCTCCTTTGGTCCCTGCTTAGGTTGCACGGTCCAAAACGCATAGTATCAGTTGTTTAGTCGACGAATGACGGGGATCATGCCATGTCCCTCGATTTCTCCTCTGTGAGATGCCGATCGCCCTGGTCTGCCTGGTCTTCGAGGTATAATAGCATCGCTAACCTAACCGCCCCATCCCCCCTCGATCTAATCTTTCAGGAATCATTCAACGTTTCCAAGTTCAAGTCTGCCGGGGTTTCTGAGCCCCCTCATTGGCAGAAAAAACCATCTCGATAGTTCAATAGCTCAAAATTGAGGACACCTTCCGAAGAATAGTGGTCTCAGTTGACAGACGCAGTAGAAGTCTTTCGCTGAACCTTCCGGACTTGAGATACTCTCCCATTGGAGCTCAGCGGGCTTTCTTTATCCCTCCATCATATTTAGCTTACTGCCCCCCAAAGAACATGACTTCATCTGACCCTAGTGTCACATGTGCCCACTGCGCGCATATTAGAGGCTCAGCTCCCCCCCCCAGTTGCGTTCTTCACTCAGCGGCAGTGTCCAATCTGCGGCCTATGGTTAGTGGGGATGTTTGCTAGGGTTGTAGTAAGAAAAACCTGTTCTCACCCATCAAGATTGGCTTCTCGACACCATCTGGAAAGGTGCCGATCAATCTGGTCATAAGATGAGTGGAATGCTAAAGAAAAAGACGGGCGCGTGAAGAAAGAGGGAGGTACTGAGACGATAGTTTATCGGGGCTACTGCCTGAGAACCTATTAAATGGTTATTCTCCGGACTTTTAAATCTAGAATCCCCCCTGTCTTTGCAGAAAAGAAAGAAATGTCACATGGACCAGCATTCAGTATGACTGTCAAGTGACTCACATGACTCTGGGACGTGTAAGTGTGGCAAGACGTTCGTCGGAATGCTGGCCACTCGTGAACTCACTGTACGATTATCGTTGCAAAAGAGGCACAAGACGTGCGACGATAGTTGAACAGATGGAAGAGAGCAGTTCGCATGTTGTAGTATATTGACGATCCCGACCACCCAGCTCTCGTAGGAGCTAGGTGATAGACCATTACAAGTACTAGAACCCCAAGCATGCTATACTTGCCATCGACCGGCACTTATGAAAGGATACTATTATTGCCCGAGCCATGGATACGTCCCCAGAGCTCAATCACATTACCTACTAGCTTTAACTAAGCCGAAGACCATTTTTGGGTCCATCGTAGTATCCGCAAAGCAGATCCCTTCGGCTGTCGCGGCCATCATATCCCAGCACAGTATTTTCACATCAAACGGCGATGTATCCTTGTCCCCACTCTCATCCTCACCAGACCCATTCTCGGAATCTTTGTCCACAGCACTGGTTTCTCCATCGGCCGAGGGGCGGCGCGGCCGTTGCGTAACAGCAAGAATAGCACTCGTGCCAGCGTACAGCACCGGGTTGGTTCCCTCAGGACCTGGTTCGTCTCCGGCGCGATTCGCAAAAACAATAACAGTCTTCTTGCCAGACTCCGCATCATCCCCATCGAAGTTCACCTCATGACGCAATCGTTTTTTGATGAGGGGCCAAAACCGCTGGATCCAGTAGTTGAAGGTATCCATCTCCGGCTCGCCAGCGAGAGCGTCGAGCTCTTCCCGGCCCAAGGATGTGAGCCAAGCCATCGAAAGGACGACGAGTTGAGACTTCGAATCCAGCACTCGGTTCGCGAACTCCCATGCGGTGAACGGCGTCTCGAACTTATACGGGTTGATATCCATGCATATCCCGAATGAAGTGGCAACGTTGGTGCCGGGAGAATTCTGCTCTGGTGATTTCCCAAAGGTAAGCTCGCGAAAGCCCCGCTTCACATCCCCTTCGGCGGCCCATGTCTCGTCTGTATAGTACAGAAACGTCTTGCGGTAGTTGTGCAGCACCTCCCCGTTCTCGTCAACCACAAGAAGAGAGTTGTAGTACGTCTCCTGCTGACTAGTCGAACCGTCTCCTTGGCTCACCCCTGCTTCCTCGACCTCAGGATACCCAACGCACACTTTACATCGATACCGCCTAGCCGTCTCTCGTGCCCACGCGGCTGATGGGCCCTTCCCCGCAGGCTCCAGATATGGCCTGATAGCCTGCAGCGACGGGAAGTTATAACCTTCGCACAGAAGCATCAGCATAGGGCGTCCATAAAGAAAAGATTCAAAGATTACCACAACAGAACATACCAGTCAAAGCCAACTCAGGCAATACCAGAATCTCCGGTTTCAAGACGTCGACTCCAATGCCAACGCCTCCTAGCACTTTGCCATTCTGCAGCAATTCATTGGCCCGGTTGATGTTGCCTTCCACATCGCCCAGTTTCGGGGCGAACTGTAAGGTGGCGATTCGCATTTCCCTGCGCTGCTGGGTGTGTGTGCGCAGAACAGGGAATGGTGTGAAATGTGGATGCTTTGGCGGGTATCTCCTCTGGGTACTAAATGCAGCGCACCTCCTATGCACTGCAGGAGAGCGGATGGCGAATACGGACGGTCGACACTGTGGGCCGAACCCGGTACAAAAAGTATTTACTTGCTTTGGAATAGTAATGGTGGCGATATATTTTGGCAGTCCTTTTTCCTTGTTGTAAATAGTATCAAAACCGATGAGTAGCGCCGGTTGATTGAGAGTTCGATAGGTGATGTTGTTTGTTCTGATTGGTTTCGCTGTGACAAAACTCCCTGTGGTGTGGGGTTGGGCGGTGGGTCTGGGCTTTGGTTCGTATTGTCCTGCATTCACCTACAAATACTTACATAGAGAACTACCTCAAACTCTGCTTGTTCAATGTCATACCGGATCGCTTTCAATGGAGAGTAGGTGTCCTGCGTTCTAAAGGCGGCTGGCTATGTACTCTCTATCTGTAAACGAGTAGTGGATCCGAAATCATACAGTTTCATCATAGTACAACAATCCCTTGGGCAAGATGCATTCAATGCATTCGATGAGATACAAAAAAATAAAAAATAAACAGAACTGCCTAGACTGAATGTAGGGGCAAAGGAATCCCACTCGCTAAGATCCAGAACAAATCGAGGTATATGATCTTTCCCGCGCCATGCTTGAGACCCAGGTACTATGCAGTAACTCTCAACACCATACGTAAACATAGAATTCGCTGAACGCCGTCTCCCAATGCAGATATCGAACTCCAACAAAACCAATATAATATGTACTTAAATGGCTCTACCGAAAGAACCAACCTCAGCCATGAACGCATATAACTGTATAGGATTGAAGATCCCCATAGATGCGCAATCCTGTTGCTGTTGATTACCGAACCGTCTTTATTTAGATTTTCGTTTCTTTTTAGGGGTAAAGTCCAGTGGCTTATAGGCCAACCCTTTGCCACCCGTCAGGCAAAGTCTTTGTTCGGTGCGAGATAATGTGCGGCCCAGTCCGAGATCGGTGTCAGGGGCAAGTGCAAGGTCGTACCCGTTCACAAGTGATTGGGGCGACTGACTCCGGGAGAAAGAATACGATGAAGAGAAACTGCTTCGAGGGCTGAAAGACGAGCGCCGAGGTTCAGATGACCTAGTAGACCAGCTGTTTATAAGTCTTGGGCCGCTCCTGAGAGATTCAGCGGCTATGCGGGCAGCAGAGAGGAGGAGTTCATCCTCGTCAACTTGATTAGGCTTTGGAGGCTCTGGTTTGGATTCGGCTGCCGGCTTCCGCGTCATGGACTCGATTTGTTCTAGGATAGGAAGCTTCGGTAGAGGTTTGATAGAGGAAAGCGCCATGGACTTTTTATGTAAAACAGGGGTCTCGGCT